ATTTTTGTGCTAGTACTAGAGCTTAAACTCATGGCTTTGTGCTATCACTAAAAAGTAAATGAGAATTCTCACTCAAGGCTCTACTACTTGAGCCACAACTCGACTTCCAGCTTTTTTCTGAGAGATAAGAGCCTCATGGACTTTCCTGCCTGCCCTAGCTTGGAACCGAGATCCTCAGATCTCAGCCTCCTGATTAGCTAGGATTACAGGTGTGAACCACCAGCACTTGGCCTATTTTGAGTTCTTAACCAGCTGACTGACTTGAGCCTCTGGGTGTGTTCATGGGAGATTTCCTTTATTTCTGTACTCTCCAAAGTCTAGACTCTTATGATTGATGGATTCCTTCCCCTGGTATTTCTTTGTTCTCTGAAATCTTTCTTTACAGAGTTCTCTTCTATAAGGGCCCACTCAGATACGCATTTCCCAAACTTACTTCCTTTCAAGCAAAGAATATTATTTGCATCTTAATTCTCTTTGCACATACTGATAAGACTTATCCTTAGGTTGCTATAACAATGACACTGATCATTCAGGTGTCAGGTTGAGAGTCAGATGACTCAACAAAACCTAAACATAGAATTGCTGGTGACTCATCAGTCCTGCTTCTGGGGATAGATCCAGAAGAATTGAAGTCAGTGCCCAGGAGAGACGCCTGTCTGCATTGCCTTGTTATTAGACTAGCTAAGATGTGGAGGCAAGCAAAGGCAAGGAAAATGCAGGTTAGGCATGTTAGCACACTACCAACAGATAGGAGAATTGAAAATTTGAGACTAGCCTGGGTTGCATACACCGATTCCAAAAGTTTAAAAAAAAAAAAAAAAAGCAGAGGGAGGTGAAGGCCTGGTGCCGGTGGCTCACACCTATATTCCTAGCTATTCAAGAGACAGATCTGAGAATTGCAGTTCAAAGCCAGCCCAGTCAAGAGAGTCTGTGAGACTCTAATTACCAATTAAGCACCAAAAAAGCTGAAAGTGGAACTGTGGCTCAAGTGGTAGAGCACTGGCCTTGAGCACCAAAGCTTGGGGACAGCACCCAGGCCCAGAGTTCAAGCCCCAGGACCAGCATACACCCAAAAATATGAGTTCTGATGATCTTTTCTTTGTTCTTTCATGAATCTATCCAGTTACATGCAAATATATTAACAATAAACCAGTGAAATTAAAAATAACTTCAGAAGGATATATTAACAGCAGTAATGGCTAGCATATACTGTATTCTTAGGCTATATTTTACATGCGGCACATAGGTTTTCTGGCCAAACAACCGGCAGTACCCCTAAAAAAAATCCCTCAGTTCCAGAAAGAAGTCTATAAAGGAAGAGAAATCAGTAGCTATTCTTAGTCACAGTATAAGACTATAATTAACTCCTCAAGTATCTTAGATACAAGTCTGTTAGTCTACAGACAGAGATTAAAATAGTGGCACTTAAAATATAAAGTTGTTTTCAGCTTTAAAGTGCTCTGCACTTGTTCATTCAAAGCACAAGGACGCTGAAATGGTCTGAACACTTGCTCTTCAAAATCCAAATCCAATTTAGGATACACAGAGCCGTAATAGAATGCTGGAGGTTTATACATTCATCTGTAACTGAGTAATTTAATATTATTTTTGGCCAGATCACCTTAATTTTCTAGGGAAGAGGACTCAGTCTATCCTATATATCATATAATATATATCTATGTAATACATAAATATATTGTATAATATATAGTATATAATATTACATATATCTATATATTGCATATGATATATGTGATATAAATATGCTTATGTTGTATATAATATATGCACATGTAAATACATACTTATATTTATCATAATTTTATTTATTATTTACTACATTTGTATAAGTATATATGCATATAATTGATAACATTTATATATTGCATATAATTATATATACTCTACATATGTTCAATTATCAATGTATAATATACACTAATATAAATTTTATACTCAGTTGATTTTTATTTTTATTTTTTATTTATTTATTTTTTTGTTAGTCATGGGCTTGAGCTCTGTCATGAGTCGCCAGTGCTCAGCTCCCATGCCCAATATATTTCTGATAAAATCAGTTGAGACCAGGTACTAGTGGCTCATGCCTGTAATCTTAGCTACTCAGGAGGCTGAGATCTAAGAATCATGATTCAAAGTCAACTCAGGCAGCAAAGTCTATGAGACTATTACTTCCAATTAAACACCAGAAAACTGAAAGTGGAGTCATGGCTCAAAGTGGAACAGTGCTAGTCTTGAGCAAAAAAGCTCAAGGATGGGTTGGGGATTTAGCTCAGTTGGAAGAGCACTTACCTAGAAAGTGCAGGACCCTGAGTTTTTGTCCTGAGTTTGAGCCTCAGCTCTTAGGGGAGAGGGGAGAGCTCAAGGGCCATGCTCAGGCCCTGAGTTCAAGCCCCACAACTGACAAAAGAAAAAAAAAAAAGAAATTTATTGGGCATTGGAAACAGGATTGTATCTAGTACACACATGAAAGAGAGGAGGCTTTCTTCATGTATTACTTGTGAAGAAACTGGTAGACTTTTGTCCTTTCAGCCATTGAAAATGTATGTGTTAAATATGAACTCTCAGCCAGCATATGGACCAAAAGCAGTTCTAAATATATTACCACTTTGTTGCGTGTATGCTCAAGGCCTTGTGCTCTTGCTTGTCTTTTTTGCTCATGACTGGTGCTCTACCACTTGAACCATGCCTCCACTTCTAGGCTTTTTGTTGGTTAATTGGAGATAAGATTCTCAGGGACTTTTTTTCCCCAGTCTGACTTTGAACTGCGATCCACAGAACTCAGCCTCCTGAGTAGCTAGGATTACAGATGTGAGACGAAGTGCTGAGCATGTTACTTCATTTATCAGAATACTTTTCCCTCTGAAACATCCTTGTGCCACAGTTCATTTTGGTTTGATTTTTGTCTTTTTTCTGAAGGCTTTTCCTATTGAAGGGCTTTTGGAAACAGCGTTGTCATGTCCACTAATGAAATAATATTGAGGCTCTTAGAGGAAGGGCATTGAAGTTTCAAGGAAAAAAAACAGCAAAAACTCCTGGACTCCATATCTATTGAGATTGATCATAATGCCAGTAATTGAATATTTAGATTCTCCATTTCCTTTATGAAAAATTCAAATGGATTGCTTTCCATCAAATACCATATTGTGAATTATATACTTTTTAGATTGACTTATCAAAATTGCTGAATAAGCCCGGTACTGGTGGCTCAGGCCTGTAATCCCAGCTACTCAGATCTGAGGATCACAGTTCAAAGCTAGCCTGGGCAAGAAAGACTATGAGATTCTTTTTTTTTGGGGGGGGGGGTCCGGTCTTGGGGCCTGAACTCTGGGCCTGGACCCTGTCCCTTAGCTCTTCAGCTCAGGCTAGCGCTCTACCACTTGAGCCACAGCTCCACTTCCGGCTTTTTTCTTTTTGCTTATGTGGTGCTGAAGAATTGAACCCAGGGCCTTGAGCATGCAAGGCAAGCCCTCTACCACTGAGCCACCTTCCCAGCCCCTATGAGATTCTTATCTTGAGTTGATTAGCAAAAAACCAGAAGTGTACCTGTGGCTCAAGTGGTAGATTGCTAGCCTGAAGCAAAAAGCTAAAGGACAGTGCTCAGGCCCTGAGGTCAAGCTCCAGTACAAAGAAAGAAATAAAAAACTTGAATAAGAAACCTACGCTAGGGCAGGGAAGGTGGCTCAGTGGTAGAGTGCTTGCCTTACATACATGAGGCCCTGGGTTCGATTCCTCAGCACCACATAAGCAGGGGAAAAAAAGCCGGAAGTGGTGCTGTGGCTCAAGTGGTAGAGCGCTAGCCTTGAGCTGAAGAGCTGAGGGACAGCGCCCAGGCCCAAAGTTCAGGCCCATGACCGGACCCAAAAAAAGAAAAAAGAAACCTACCCTAAGTTAATTCTTTTTTTTTTTAATTTTTTGGTCTGGTCGTGGGGCCTGAACTCTGGGCCTAAGCGCTGTCCCTCAGCTCTTCAGCTCAAGGCTAGCGCTCTACCACTTGAACTACAGAATCACTTCCAGCTTTTTTTTTTTCCTGCTTATGTGGTGCTGAGGAATCAAACCTAGGGCCTCATGCATGCAAGGCAAGCGCTCTACCACTGAGCCACCTTCCCAGCCCCTCTAAGTTAATTTTATATCATGGGAATATTGGATCTGCTACAGTTTTTTAAATTTTATTTTATTTTTTGTGGTAGTCCTGGGGTTTGAACTCAGGGCCTGTTCCTCAGCTGCTGTTCCTCAGCTTTTATGCTCAAGACTAGCACTCTACCACTTGAAGTACAGCTCCACTTCCAGTTTTTTGCTGGTTCACTGGAGATAAGAGTTTCACGAACTTTCCTGCCCAGGCTTGGCTTTGAACCTCGATTCTCAGCTCTTAGACTCCTGAGTAGCTAGGATTACAAGCAGGAGTGCTGGCACCAGCTACTAGAGTCGTTTTTGTTTTTTGTTTTGCTGGGCCTCAGGCTTGAACTCAGGGCCTGGGTGCTATCCCTGAGCTGCTTTGTGCTCAAAGCTAGATCTCTACCACTTAAGTCATAGTGCCACTTTCAGCCTTTTCCATGTAGTTTATTGGAAATAAAGAGCCTGGCACTGGTGGCTCACACCTGTAATCCTGGCTACTCAAGAGGCTGAGATCTGAGGATCGTGGTTCAAAGCCAGCCCTGGCAGCCCAGGAGACTCATGAGTCTCCTAACTCCAATAAACCACCAGAAAACTGGAAGTGGCACAGTGGCTCAAGTGGTAGAGCACTAGCCTTGAGCTGAAGAGTTCAGGGACAGTGCCCAGACCCAGAGTTCTAGCCCCATGACCAAACAAAACAAAAAAGAGCCTCACAGACTTTTCTGCCCAGGCTGGCTTTGAATGGTTATCCTCATCTCTCAGCCTCCTGAGTAGGTAGGATTAAAGGTGCAGTTTTTTGAACATGCAGGTGTTAACTGGATCAAGCTCACCATCCCATTGAAGCCATTCAGAGACTGTCTTTTGCATTGCAGGTAGAGAGGGAAAAGGCCATTCTTTTGGCCAACCTGCAAGAGTCACAGACCCAGCTGGAGCACACCAAGGGTGCGCTGACGGAGCAGCATGAGCGAGTACACCGGCTCACAGAGCATGTAAATGCCATGAGAGGCTTGCAGAGCAGCAAGGAACTGAAAGCAGAGCTGGATGGGGAGAAGGGCCGGGACTCCACAGAGGAGGCCCACGACTATGAGGTAGACATCAATGGCTTGGAGATCCTCGAATGCAAATACCGGGTTGCGGTCACCGAGGTGATTGATTTGAAAGCAGAAATTAAGGCCTTAAAAGAGAAATACAATAAGTCTGTGGAGAACTATACAGAAGACAAGGCTAAGTACGAGAGTAAGATCCAGATGTATGATGAGCAGGTGACAAACCTGGAGAAGACCACCAAGGAGAGCGGCGAGCAGATGGCACACATGGAGAAAGAGCTGCAAAAGATGACCAGCATCGCCAATGAAAATCACAATACACTGAACACGGCCCAGGATGAGCTGGTCACATTCAGCGAAGAGCTTGCTCAGCTTTATCATCATGTGTGTCTGTGTAACAATGAGACTCCCAACAGGGTGATGTTGGACTATTATAGACAAAGCAGAGTCACCCGGAGTGGCAGTCTGAAGGGGCCAGATGACCCCAGGGGACTCTTGTCACCACGACTCGCCAGGCGGGGGGTGGCATCTGCAGTAGAACCCAAGACCTCATCAGATCCAGGTCCCAAAGAAAATGCTGAGGCTAGCAAAGAGCCGAGTCCAACGAAAACCCCCACAATCTCTCCTGTCATCACCGCGCCCCCCTCCTCTCCAGTGTTAGACACGAGTGACATTCGCAAAGAACCAATGAACATCTACAACCTCAATGCCATCATCCGGGATCAGATTAAGCACCTGCAGAAGGCGGTGGACAGGTCCTTGCAACTGTCTCGTCAGAGAGCAGCGGCTCGGGAGCTGGCCCCCATGATTGATAAAGACAAGGAAGCCTTAATGGAAGAGATCCTCAAGCTCAAGTCCTTGCTGAGCACAAAGAGGGAACAGATCGCCACCCTTCGGGCTGTACTGAAGGCCAATAAACAGGTAATTCCTGTCTACCCATGTCAGCATGTTAGGGCAAGAAGGCTGAAAGTCCCTGATTTGATGGAATTCCCAGGATGATCAAGATAAGAGTTCAGACTTGGGCTGGGAAGGTGGCTCAGTGGTAGAGCGCTTGCCTTGCATGCATGAGGCCCTGGGTTCGATTCCTCAGCACCACATAAGCAAAAAGAAAAAAGCCGGAAGTGGTGCTGTGGCTCAAGTGGTAGAGTGCTAGCCTTGAGCTAAATCGCTGAGGGACAGCACCCAGGCCCAGAGTTCAGGCCCCACGTCTGGACCCCCCCCCAAAAAAAAAAAAAGAGTTCAGACTTCCTGGTCATGGTGGCTCACATCTGTAATCTTAGCAACTGAGATCTGAGGGTCTAATTCAAAGCCAGCCTGGATAGAAAAGCCTGCGAGACTTTATCTCCAGGTAACCAGCAAAAGAAGTCTGAAATGGAGGCGTGTCTCAAGTGGTAAAGGGCCAGCCTTGAGTCAAAAAGTCCAGAAAGAGGTGGGAACTGGGCATATGCCTAAAATCCTAGCTATTCAGGAGTCTGAGATCTGAGGATCACTTTCAAAGCCAGCCTGGGCATGAAAGTCTGTGAGACTCTTATCTCCAGTAAACCACTCAGAATACCAGAAGTGGTGCTGTGGCTCAAGTGATAGAACAGTCGCCTTTGAGCTGAAGAGCTGAGGAACAGCGCCCAAGCCCAGAGTTCAAGCCCCACAACTGGGGGGGAGGGAAGAGGGAGGAAGAGCACAAGGTCCTGAGTTCAAGTCCCAGTACCAGTACCCCCTGTTTCCCCTGCCACCGCGCACCATCACCACAAATTAACTTGATAAAAATGCAAGCAGAAAGGGGAGTGATAGGGACTGAGAGATAAGGTAAATGTTTTGTTTTTTGCTGGACGTGGGGCCTGAACTGTGGGCCTGGGCACTGTCCCTCAGCTCTTCAGCTCAAGGCTAGCACTCTACCACTTGAGCTACAGCGCCACTTCCAGCTTTTTCTGCTTATGTGGTGCTACGGAATCAAACCCAGGGCCTCATGCATGGAAGGCAAGCACTCTACCACTGAGCCACCTTCCCAGCCCCATAGAGAAGGTAAATGTTTTAGTCAAAGCTCCTCTCACTGTCCCCTGATCCTTACATGACTCAGTGCAGCTTTCTGGTTCCCTTCAGGTATCTGTTCCCCAAGTTCCCTGAGGTATCCTTACCCTGAGCGGTACTATGGCTTACACTATAAACATCTCATATACATACCTAAGGATAAGGTGGAACTTTATTTTGTTCATCACCTTAATGGAGTAGAAAATGTTAGAGTATCTAGGCAGTCCATATTACAAAGTTTGGTTTGGTGTATTTTTTTGTAGTTGTTGTTGTTTGTTTTTTGGTGGTGGTCCTGGGGCTTGAACTCAGGGCCTAGGTGCTGTCCCTGCGTTTTTGTGCTCAAGGGTAACACTCTGCCACTTTGAGTGAGGCACAGTGCCTCTTCCAGTTTTCTGGTGGTTAATTGGAGATAAAGAGTCTCATGGATTTTCCTGCCCGGGCTGACTTTGAACTGCAATCCTCAGCACAGCTTCCTGAGTGGCTAGGATTACTGGCACGAGCCACTGGCACTATTTATGTCTTTTATTCTATGTTTAAGGCCATATAGCATGGCACAAAAATATTTGGTTTGTAATATATTTCATTAGGAATATGTTCTCTCTCTCTTTTTTAACTTGTTAATAAAATCCTTCTTGGATAAAGTGTTTTGGCTCTCTCCATAGCTGAAGCCCTTACCCTTTCATCAATCTGCATGAAGCATTGATTGAACTACTGTCCTGACCATTGCCTCTGCTACTGATTAACTGACCGCTGGGCAGTTTCTAGGGCACTTTAACACATTATCATTTACAGCATGATTTGACATTTAAAAAGACCTTCTTTGCCAGATGCTGGTGGTTCACACCTGTAATCCTAGCTACTCAGGAGGCTGAGATCTGTTCAAAGCCAGCCAAGGCAGGAAAACCTGTGAAACATTTTTTTTTGGTCAGTCATGGGCGCTATCCCTCAGCTCTTCAGCTCAAGGCAAGTGCTCTACCACTTGAGCTACAGTGCCACTTCCGGTTTTCTGGTGGTTTATTGGAGATAAGAGTCTCATGGTCTTTCCTGCCCGGGCTAGCTTTGAACCGTGATCCTCAGATCTCAGCCTCCTGAGTAGCTAGGATTACAGGCGTGAGCCACCAGTGCCTGGTTTGAAACTTTTATCTGTGATAAACTACTCAGAAAAAGTCAGAAGTGGTGCTGTGGCTCACGTGATAGAGCACTAGCCTGGAACAAAAGAAGCTCAGGGACAGCCCTTAGGCCCAGAGTTCAAACCCCAGAACCAGCAATAAATAAATAAATAATAAGACCTTCCCTGCAGGGCCCTGGTAGTTCATGCCTATAACCTTAGTTCTTCAGGCAGCTGAGATCTGAGGATCCAGATTCAAAATTAACCCTGGAGAGTCTGTGAGACTCTTATCTCCAATGAAACATCAAAAAGCCAGAAGTAGAGCTATGGCTCAAGTGATAGAGCATTGGCCTTAAGCTCAAAAGCCTTAGTGTAAGGTACAATGTTCAGGCCATGAGTTCAAACCTCAGTACCGGCACAAAAGGAAAAACTGACAGCTATCCTCTATGTCCAGTGTATGTATATGTGCTTATTAAAATCTAAGTAGCTTCCCTTTTCCCTTGATGAGAGGAACTAGCAGGCCCCGTGAATGTGCACGCCTGACAGGCTGTCCTGGTGGGGTTTTTCTGCTCCAGACCGCCGAGGTGGCACTTGCTAATCTGAAGAACAAATACGAAAATGAAAAGGCAATGGTGACTGAAACGATGACGAAACTCAGGAATGAGCTGAAGGCTTTGAAAGAAGATGCGGCCACCTTCTCATCCTTGCGAGCCATGTTCGCCACAAGGTAACTGACTTCCTTCTTGTCCTTTTTCGGTGACACCCAGGAGGGAGACTGCCAAAGCCGTGGGTGTGTCTTTGCATACCTGCATGGCATTGGGTGTGTGCTCCAGGGCAGAAAAGCTGGAAGAAAATGTATGAGATTTGACTCTGCTAAAGAGTCACATTTTCCAGACCTCATTTCCAAAGCCCTGTGCTGAGCACACGGGATCAAACAATTCTCTTATATAAACATGTTTATAGACTGGCCACTGGTGGCTCACGCCTGTCATCCTAGCTACTCAGGAGGCGGAGATCTGAGGATCATGGTTTGAAGCCAGTCTTGGTAGAAAAATCTGTGATATTCTTACCTTAAGTTAACCAGCAAAAACCTGGGAGTGGAGGTGTGTCTCAAGTGGTAGAGCACTAGCCTTGAGCAAAATAAGCTAAGGAAGAGCTCAAGGCCCAGAACCAGCTCTCCCCTCCCCCCACCCACCTCATGAGTCAATACAGCTCTTACTTTTTTTTTTTTGGTACTTCTCCTGGAGCTTGAACTCAGGACTTTGGCACTATTCCTGAGCTTTTGTGTTCTAGGCTAGTGGTCTACCACTAGAGCCACAACCCCACTTCCAGATTTTATTTTATTTTTTGTAATTTATTAGCGATAAGAGTCTCACAGGCCCTCCTGCCCAGGTTGGCTTTGAACCACCATCCTCAGCTTTCAGCCTCCTGAGTAGCTAGGATGGCAAGCATGAGCCACTGGTACCTGGCACAGCTCTTTAATATTTTGGGAATGTAACTCCATGCAGGGGACGTCAGATCCCTGAAATCGCAATCGATGGAAACTGAACACTTTGACTTCAGATCCAGTCCTGTTTCATGTTTCCTCCTGACCCACTGTTCTGTTTGGGGTTCCAGGTGTGATGAATATGTCACCCAGTTGGATGAGATGCAGCGGCAGCTAGCAGCTGCAGAGGATGAGAAGAAGACGTTGAACACTTTGTTGCGCATGGCCATTCAGCAAAAACTCGCCCTGACCCAGCGGCTGGAGGACTTAGAGTTTGATCATGAGCAGTCTCGACGCACCAAAGGCAAACTTGGAAAGAGCAAGCTCGGCAGTCCTAAAGTAAGTGAAGCGGTGTCAGCCACCCTGCCCACCGTACACACTTACCCCCTGCATAGGCCGCACCCACAGACACCCAGCTCGAGGGGCAGCAGTGGCACTCAGAGGAAAAGGTATGCCTGAGTGATTTTCACACTATGATGTGGTGGCCAGGCTTTGGTTAACGGGGTTCTTATTGTGGAGGATGGAGGAGGGAGAAAGAAAAGAGAAACGGGAACTGGACTATCAGTGGGACTTACTTGTGTTGGTGGCTCCAGATGAAAAGCATGGAAGAATTATGTTGATGTATTCCTTTCTTGCCATTCCCAACTCATGATTAAGCATAATACAGTATTCAATTGCCTGTTCCTATGTTGACTTCTGTCTGTAAGCATCAAGAGTATCATTCTCTTGTCTCAACTTAATGATGAATAGGTAAAGATGAATGTGTAACACGAATCAACCTGTTGGCTGGGTGCTGGTGGCTCACACCTGTAATCCTAGCTACTCAGGAAGCTGAGATCTGAGGATCATAGTCTAAAGCCAGCCCGGGCAGGAAAGTCAGTGACTCTTATCTCCAATTAATCAGCAAAAAGCCACAATTGGAAGTGTGGTTCAAGTGGTAGAGTGCTAATCTTGAACAAAAAAGCCAAGCAAAAATGGTAGGTCGTGAAATTCAAGCCCCAGTACTGGCACTAATAATAATAATAATCTATAGTCAACACAGGCTATCATTTTAAATGTCATTGAACCCCCTGCCCCCCCAGAAATAGTAATTATTTATTCTTCTTAATAGAGAGGATATGAATCTGTTAAGAGAATTCTTGTCTATACCACTCAAACTACTCTGATTTTAAAAGTATGCTTATGTTTAGGTAAACTGGAATGTGGATAGTTCTTTTGATAAGAACAAGTTTTTATGTCTTTCTTTTTTTGGTTTTGTTTTTGTGCCAGTCCTGGGGTTTGAACTCAGGGCCTGGGCACTGTCCTGAGCTCTCTTTGCTCAAGACTATATGCTTTTTTTTTTTTCATTTGGCATGTGAATATTGCTCAGAGAAGCACTTGCAAGCTTTTTAATGACTTGATTTTGTGATGCCCCCCTCCCCTACAAAAAAAAATCCTGGCTATTGAGTTATATGCCTTGTTTTTGCAGTTCAGTATGCTTCAGAATTGTTTATTTTAGGGCCTTTCCTTTTTAAAAAATCAAAGAATACCAGTAGTGGTGGTTCAAATTGACTAACTTATACTAAGTCGCTTTTCCAGTATATATATATATATATATATATATATATATATATATATGCCAGGGAAAAAAAGGAAGTGGTATAGCACCAATGGCTCATGCCTGCAATCCTATCTACTTGAAGCCTGCAATCTGAGGATTGTGGTTCAAAGGCAGCCTGGGCAGGAAGTCCGTGAGATTTTTATCTCCATTTAACTAGCAAAAAGCTAGAAGTGGAGCGTGGCTCAAGTGGTAGATCACTATTAGCCTTGAGCAAAAAAGCTCAGGGACAGCTCCCAGGCCTTGTGTTTAGGTCCCAAAACTGGCACAAAAAATTTTTTTAAAAAAATGAGTGGCAATATAAATAATGTTATCACCAATGAGGCATCGAAAGGTAATTAAAGTAAAACTTTTTTGTTTCCTATATGTATTTTTCTTGGATCTCCTGCAAGACAATTTTCACCTTCCCTTTGTGATCAGAGCCGTCCCAGGACTCCGGGGGCTCCTTACCTACAGAATTTATTAAGAGTTGCCCCCGACCCCACCTCCAGTGAGTCATTTCTTCTGAAAGGCCCCCCTTCCATGAGTGAATTCATCCAAGGGCACCGACTCAGCAAGGAAAAAAGGTTAACCGTGGCTCTACCAGGTAAACATTTTTTCCTTGGGTGCATGTGATGCAATGGTAGTTGAATAGAAGCCTCTCTCCTTCCTTCCAGCCCCTGGCCACCTCTCCCTCACCCCACCCCACCCCCCCAATCCAGAGAGTCAGACCTTGAGGACTTGCAAATTCCTTCTATTGACTGAACTCAAAACTTTTGCCCATGGGACTTTCTAGAAAGTCTTGACCATGGTTGCAAGAAATCCTCAGGGGCTTCCTACCTAACAGCCAGGGTGGAAAAAGGAAGAGTTGCAAGAAATGGGAGAGAGGACTGGGCAATTGAGCTACCTAACCATGCAGGACAGGACAGACGTGGTCAGATTTTTGTGTTTCAGTCTTGTCATCTGTGCTGTAAATTTCAGTGAAGGGAGCTCGGGTTGTCATGGGCCTTTTGCAATGGCTCAGCCTGTCTGCTGCTGGTCATGTATGTCATTGGCCTGGCCCAGTCATAGACTGGCTGCTACTATGAGGGCCAACGCTGCCCTTTGCCAGAGACTTTTCTTCTGCCTCGTAGACTCCCGGCCTGCTGTATGTTTTTCTATTCTCTCCAGGCCTTTAGTGTAGCCTTTGAGTTTTCCACCTTTGCAATAGTTAACCAGTGTTGTTGCTTTTTTTTTTTTTATAATTGACTTTGATTTTTCTTCCTACCTCTTTTCTTTCAATTTGACCTTAATTTTTCTTTTTAGAAACCTGAGCCTTTAACACTCTAGTACTTTTTTTATGTGACACTTGAAATCCAGCTTCATGATTGGGATTAAAAAGTAGGTGGTAGGATAACTTACACCACAGAGTTTATTTACTCTTAATGTTCTCACAGAAGGAGGAAACAGGAATGATAAAGATATTGGGATGGCCTTATAGGCCAAGTAGTTGTATGCGTGCATGCATACACAAACACATACACATGCACACACGCAAGGACACACACAAGCAGTTCCTCTCCCAGCTATGTCTGCCTTCAGAATTCCTTATGGTTTTAGATCCCTTCAGACAGTATCTGGAATATCCTGTGAACTATCAAAGTGTTAATGATGAATCAGGGCATCTAACTTGGATAAAACCACAAAAATCATTTTTAGTGTTCCACACGGGTTTAACAGTCCTGTCTACTTGCCTTTAGGATAGACAATGGTATGATTAATAAATGATTTCTATTGTATTTACATTTTGTAGCCTTTAATCTTATTGGCCTATCAAAATGGTTAAGATGAATAAATATTAACAAAGCATCTTCATTTGGTTTATGTTTGGTCTCTTTGGTCCTTGCCTATATAAATATTTGTTTGACATCATTATCATTGCATTGTCAAAGCCATTGATACTGTCTTATAAGCTTTTCCCCTTTTCTACTTCCATCTTTTTATTTCCATTTATTCTACTTTAAACTTTATTCTGGGTCACTACTCGCTAGGTGATTGGGCTCTGCTGGAGGTGCCTCTCCACCTTCTGCTCATCTGTTCTGTCTCTTCCACAAGACTAACATCACAAGTTAGAAGTTAAACATCTTTATGGTTTGGGAGACATTTTGATGTTGTCAAAAAGAGGATAATAGAGCCAGGAGCTGGTGGCTATACCTGTAATCCTAGCTGTTTGAGAGGTTGAGATCTGGAGGATCATGGTTTCAGGCAAGACCAGACAGAAAAGTCTAAGAGAATCCATCTCCAAAATAACAGCAAAAAGCAGGGTGGGAGGCATGGCTCAAGTGGTAGTCAGCTGAGCCAGCGCCCTAATGGAATACATGGTCCTGAGTTCAAATCCTAGTACTCCCCACAAAAAGGGAAGAGATATATTACTGAAGTAGTTAACCTCACAAAATGTTTTTCCTGGTTTTTTTTTTTTTTTTGGTCCGGTGGTGGGGCCTGAACTCTGGGTGCTGTCCCTCAGCTCTTCAGCTCAAGGCTAGCGCTCTACCACTTGAGCTACAGCGCCACTTCTGGCTTTTTTCTTTTTGCTTATGTGGTGCTAAGGAATTGAACCCAGGGCCTCAGGCATGCAAGGCAAGTGCTCTACCACTGAACCACCTTCCCAGCCCCAAAATGTTTTCCTATTTTCCATTCTAAATCTTTCTATTACTCTATATGTACTATAAGTGCCTTTCACTCTAAGGGTAGTTAGCACAGGTGAATGGGTGTTTAGTTATGTAATCTTAAATTCTTTACTGTTAACTGGGTGCCAATGGCTCACGCCTGTAATCCTAGCTGCTCAGGAGGCTGAGATCTGAGGATCGCAGTTTAAAGCCAGCCTGGGCAGAAAAGTCTATGAGATTCTTTTTTTTTTTTTTTTTTGGGGGTCTGGTCATGGGGCTTGAACTCTGGGCCTGGGCACTGTCCCTCAGCTCTTCAGCTCAAGGCTAGTGCTCTACCACGTGAGCCACAGCGCCACTTCCGGCTTTTTTCTTTTTTTGCTTATATGGTGCTGAGGAATGGAACCCAGGGCCTCTGGCATGCAAGGCATGCGCTCTATCACTGAGCCACCTTCCCAGCCCCGTCTATGAGATTCTTAATCTCCAATAAACTACCTACCTTCCCCCTGCCTCTCTCCACCCACCACCCAAAAAAACAAACGAAAGCCAGAAATGGAGCTCTAGCCTAGAGCCAAAGAAGCTCAGGGACAGTGCCCAGGCCCTGAATTCAAGCCCTAGCTTGAACTAGCACAAAAGAAGAAAAGAAAAAAAGAGAGTGAGAGAGGGAGGGAGAGAGAAAAAAGGAAAAGAAAGAAAGAGAGAGGAAGGAAGGAAGGAAGGAAGGAAGGAAGGAAGGAAGGAAGGAAGGAAGGAAGGAAGGAAGGAAGGAAGTGACATATATACTGTCTTGGTGCCTGTGGCTCACATCTGTCATCCTAGCTACTCAGGAGGCTGAGACCTGGAGGATGGAGTTCAAAGTCATCCTAAGCAGAAAAGTCTGTGAGACTCCATCTCCAATTAACTAGCAAAAAGCTGGATCTGATTCAGTGGTAGGGTCCTAAACTGTGCATGAATAAAAAAGCCAAGTAGTCTGTGTTTAAGCCCTAGTACTGGCACAATACATAAATAGAAGACCAGACACTGGTCTAGCTACTCAGGAGGCTGAGACAGGAGGATCACTATTCAAAAGCCAGACAGGAAAATCTGTGAGATTTTTTTTTATAATTAACCACAAAAGAGCTGGAGGCTCAGCTATGGCTTAAGTGGTAGAGTTCTAGAATAGGACAAAAAAAAAATCTCAAGGACAGTGCCCTGAGTTCAAGCTCCAGGAGCAGCACGCCCACACGCGCGTGAACACGTGCGCACACATGCACACACACAGATAGGGCTGATGATGTAGCTTAGTGGTAGAGCACGCACCTAGACTTACCTAGAATGTATAAGGGCACAGATTTGTGAGCCAGTGGCTTATACCGTAATTCTAGATACTCATAAGGCTGAGATCTGCCGGGCGCAGGTGGCTCACGCCTGTAATCCTAGCTACTGAGGAGGCTGAGATCTGAGGATCACGATTCAAAGCCATTCCAGGCAGAAAAGTCCGTGAGACTCTTACCTCCAATAAACCACCAGAAAACTGGAAGTGGTGCTGTGGCTCAAGCGGCAGAGCACTTGCCTTGATCTGAAGAGCTCAGGGATAGCGCCCAAGCCCAGAGTTCAAGCCCCATGACCGACAAAAAAAAAAAAAAGAAGGCTGAGATCTGAGCATCACAGTTCAAAGTCAGCTTATGCAGGAAAGTCCATGAAATGCTGATTGCCAATTAACCACCAGAAAGCCAGCAGTGGAGCTATGGCTCAAAGTAGTGGAGTGCTAGCCTTGAGCAAAAAAGCCCAGGGACAGTTCTCAGGCTCTGAGTTCAAAGCTCAGAACGGCACAAAAACAAACATAAATTAGTGAATAATTCATATTTTTAAAGTGTAAAGTTGTGGCTGGGAAGGTGGCTCAGTGGTAGAGCGCTTGCCTTGCATGCCTGAGGTCCTGGGTTCCATTCCTCAGCACCACATAAGCAAAAAGAAAAAACCCAGAAGTGGCGCTGTGGCTCAAGTGGTAGAGCATTAACTTTGAGCTGAATTGCCCAGGCCCAGAGTTCAGGCCCAGTGACCGGACCCCCCCCCAAAAAAAAACATGTAAAGTTGTAAAGATGCAATATAACTATTTCATTTATTGCCCTTCTAATATCACCTCTCAGCCACAATTAAAGTCACTGATAAAGTCTAAGATCACAAATTAAATTTTTTTATATACCTATAAAAGTCCACATTTTTCATGGTTTTGGCTGTTACTAAACTGTACTAAATTCCAGGGAGTTTTCTCTTTTCTTCTCTTTTCTTTTCCCTCCCTCCCTCCCTCCCTCCCTCCCTCCCTCCCTCCCTTCCTTCCTTCCTTCCTTCTTTCCTCCTCCTTTTTTTTTTTTGACATTTACCTTGTTTTGTCACTTCATTGTGCCCTGCCCAGCACAGGGGCTATTCTCATATAACTGCTTTAGCTTTAGAATGTTCTCAGGACATGATTAGATTTGTCATTGCTCCTCTTAAAGAACTGGTTTACAGGAAACTTCCACAATTTCATAGCCCTCCATTTAAAGATTTATATCAGAATATGGTCATTGATTTATTTGTTTTAGGACTGTAGCCTAGAATAGGACCATCATCTTAATTAACCTTGTTTTTTCTGGTACTGGGGCTTGAACTCAGGGCCAGGAACTCTCTTAGGTTGTTGTTTTTTTGTTTTTTTGGCTCAAGGCTGGCACTCTGCCACTTGAGCCACACCCTTACTTCCAGCTCTTTGCTAGTAAATTGGAGATGAGTCACACAGATTTGGCTGCCTGAGCTCGCTTTGAACTGTGATCCTTAGATCTCAGCCTCCTGAGTAGCTAGGAATATAGCTATGAGCCACTGTTATCTGGCTGAACTCATTTTCAATGGATCTAAAATTGGAGCCTCTCTTAGTTGGAGAGGATGCATTTCCTCATGCTGAGGACTTGTTTTTGCTTCTCTGAGGCCTATCATACTGTGTTTATTCTAAACA